ATTGTTAATTCTCAGGAATAGAATTTCCACGTTTAAATCATGCAGAAACATGTGCCATGAATAAGTATTCACAATGGCAACATGATCCATTTTACTTTTATTGTATACATGTTGTAGAGATCGTATTACACAAAGCCATGCCACATTGCCATGTGTTTGTAGTTTTAATATACTAGACAACTAGGCATAAATAATACAGTATTATTAAGTATCTGATCAATATATAAAGCCCACATTCCACAAGAGGCATAAACAAAGTATAAACAAACTGAAACTGCTTGTATTAAGCCGCAGTATTATGTAAATTGACCGAAATATTATGTAAATTTCATCTCTTACTACGTACAGACGCGCAATCACTACAGCCTACAACAGCTATGATGCTATATCAAGTTAATTTAAAATAGAATATGTTTACCTTAAGGCCGTACAAAACTTTTTCGTTTTCTCTCGAACGTACTTCGGGATGTAAGATTCCGCACCAAAATTTCGCGATGCGACGAAGAAGCTTGTGTTGTTCACAGCGCTCAATTAAGTCTTTAGAACGCTTCGGTTACATATCTTTAAAATATTGTTAAGATATTTTCGATCATCTTTCTCTAAAGCAGCCTTTGCGGTTTCGTAAATACCAACAGACATGGCTAGTATTAGTTTAGAACTTCTGATAAATTTTCCGATTGCCATAAAACGCACATGCTATAAAATCGGCGGGTACGCGTATAATAATAAAAGACGAAATTTACATAATATTTCAGTCAATTTTACATAAATACTGCTGCTTGATCAGAAAGATCCAGCAACGTCATAGACCTTTCCGTGCATACTATTAGCCTGAACGGTATGAACGATCAAAAAAATCCAGCCAACGGGAATTGAGGATTTTTTTGAATTAGCCAATCGGATAGCCTGTATTCGAGCCCCTGATCGCTTTAGCGATCAGAACTCCCCACAGATCGCGCAAAAATCGAGATAGCCAATCAGATGGCTGGAATCTGACTCAGAGCGTGCAAACCTCATGCGTAAGACCGCTTTTCTGCGCGTTCATGTTCGAAGGCCTTGCTACTGGATGATATCTTAGAACTGGATTGTTAAACTTTCAATACAATACACTGCGCGAAGTTTGATAACTGGACTGCTATTTTAATTTAACAACAGTTTCTGCCCAATTTTTACCTTAGTCGCGTGATCGCTCTGATCACCCCTAGATCCGCCCCTGGATCTGTGATCATGTGGGTTTAGATAAATGCAATGTATCCCGCCAGGAACAAGTGAAAATGGAGTCGCATGTTTACAAATAAGGTTTCTCCAGTTTATTAAAAGAATACAGCTTCTAACAGAGAAGCAAATGAATGAACATGATTCTTAACGAGGATACCAACTTCACCAAGTAGTGCTTTACAAACGACTACACAACAATCAGCAGGAAATACTACTGAAATTAACCTTTTTATCAGGTTCTTTTATTTTAATTAAAGTTTTCATTCACAAAGTAGAATTGTTGTGTCAGTGTTGTTTAATTTTCCTTCGTCTCCTATGTAACAAATTAAACATTTATTGTTATATTGTACACTATAATTGTTAAAATTCATGTTTTCTTGCACCTCAGTTGGCAAGGGTCTATTACGTGAAATTCTACTCCTGGAAATAGGTCTGACAATATAATGGTCGAGTTACAAAGAAAATTTGAACGTTTTCTGTTTCTCTTGGTTTTTGTTTTGTCAATGACTTTCCAACACTTGGTATATAATAAAAGATTTATTGAAACAGTGTTTTTTGTGGACCCTCGACTGCCAATGTTTCCCTTTGGTCCACAAAACATAATGTTTCTTTTGGTCCCAGATAATTAGTGTTAAATGTCTATTCCCTCTGGAAATAGTTCGACCTCCACTTCGTCTCGCGAAACATTGTAACTCTCGGGAAAATCAAACTACCTATTTGCTTCGGGAGCAGACAAGTGTGCAATGTTTTGACGGTCTGGAAGTTATTACTATACTTTGTTGTTTCCAGGAACTTTGCCAGCGACATTTGTTATTGAAACAGTGATGAATCACGTGGCTAAGGCACTGAATAAGAGCGCGGATGAAATCCGTGAAATTAATTTCTATAAGAAAGGACAGGTAAAACATCAAATTAATTTAAAATTAATATGCAAAATTACTACTTTGAAAAGACGCATATCAATCACGTATAACATACCTATTCCTTGCGTATAAATGTGTTTTGGTCCACCAGATGCTACGACGGGCAAGCGTCCAGGACATGTCCGCGACATGAACCTGATCTGCACGAATTATAACGAATATGAAGAAAGCCCCTGCCCCCCCCCCCCTAAATATATAATCATAAGTTCTAAATAAATGATTACGTGATAATCAAACCCAGCACTAATTAGACCTATGGTAGTTTACTTAAAAGTAATCACTTTAATGCTGTGTGAAGAATGGGGTCGTTCATACTTTAGAGAATGACTAACGCCTGTATTCTAAAAGCTCATTCACACTTAACTGAGCGGATGCTCATCCTCCATATGTTTAACTCACCATTCATCGAGTCTCCACACGCACTCACATAGTATGATACTACACTCACACTCCAGTTATTCAAAAAGACCACTTACGCTCAGGGAAAGCTCAAATTTGGAGTGAAGTGTGAGTGAAAGGTATACATCCCTTGACCGACACTCACATTGCATGCGCGTAGAAAAAATGGCGGATAGATGGATAAATAGATTAGCATTACTGAAGAGCATTGCTCTAAACAATGTAAATGAAAGAAGACAGTACAATTTTGATTACAATCAATTTAATGAAGAGCAATTCAAGGCTAACAAAATGGTTTCCGTTGTTCACTCTGTTTATTAATGACGCCACTGCTTGCACAGCAAACATGACCAGAAGGAAGATACAATGTCGTCCAGATACGTGCAAGGACTACAATTGAGCGTATGTTTGGCATATGGAAAAAAATGTTTCCATGCCTTGCGCCAATTCTTCGTATAAAACCCGAAACCATGTTGACAATAATAATTGCTGCAGCTGTATTGTACAATTTTGTAAGAAGGTGAAATGAATACATAGATGAGCCTGGTGACCTTGTACTTCCAGCAACATTTTACATAATAAACTATTGAAATCATTTCAATGACATACAATGACACAATGTATAACTCACATCCGTCTTTAATAAATTTATTACACACATGTTTATTTCTTGATTCTATTTGTTTATTTTCGTCAGCTGGTGTGTGGGCATGGTTGCGGCCCCTTGTTGCTTTCGGTATTCGTTGTCGTAGAATCCCAATATTGAATTCAGTGTCAAGTACCATTTTCCTTTTGTGCTCCATAATCAAATTGGCTTGCTTTATTTTTAAATATTCCATTTCGACCTCGTGTTGTTTGGCTTGCATTGCCAAACATTGAACCTGCGCGACAGACAATTTAGGCCTTTTTGACCAGCATAGAGTTAAATCAGCATTGATTACAGATTTCGGCGATTCCTGTGTCAAGGATGCAGATGTATTATTACCACCGGGATCCTGAACATTGTCGTTTGAAAAATTACTCCCACTGCTGACATTATAAATGTTAAGTGAGATAGATGCAATTCCGATTATATATATGATTGCATACCTGATTCATAATTGTCATCGTCAAAAGCGTTACGTAGTTGTCATGGTAACACGATAATTTCATGAAGAATATTTTTATAATTGAAAAATCCCCTAATCATGTTAAATTTGTTATTATACGTACTATAAGCTTCAATATAAATATGATGCAAAATTCAACCACAAACGCTTCGCAAAACGTTTTTAAATGTTCTTTATAAAACATAACCTTTATCGATAAACTTTGAGTTTGAAATAAAATGATTTCAAATTCTTGCGAAATAAAATTTTAAAAAATGAAAAAGGTCATCAAGTTTAGATAGAGATTAGATTAGGGTTAGATTAAGATTATGTTAGGGTTTATGGTCAGTGTTAGGGCTCAACATGTGTCGCGAATTTATCATAATGATAAATTCGGACGTGTTTAACATTTTACTCATATAGTAAATTCAAAGGTGGAGCTTATGCTGGAAATTATATGCTGTCTTTTTCCATTATACGCAACGATCAGCGTTTAAAGCAATTATATAGTACCTTCATTAACGTGGACGTCTTCGCTCGATTCTTTTCGCAATTCTTTCGCCTTTTTTCCTGAAACAGCTTTTGAAATTTACAAAATCTTGCAAAAATGAAATATATTTGCAAGAAATCAAGAAATGTTTGCTATTTCGCTGTCGCAATGCAGTCGTTATAATGCAAATTTTAATTTGGACCAATCAGCGTTCGCTATTCATGACAGTCCGCTATATTTTGAGATCAGTGAGGATGACTACCCACGCACAGTGACCCATAGACTTGCTCCAAGTCTCTCTTTCATTGTCACTAGTATCGATCCACTATAGTGTACATTACATGACGTAGTACGGAGGGGCGGAGCGAGAAAGAGAGACTTGTCAACCTCGGAAAATCTCGGTTCAAAACTGAAGCGAAAATGCAAGACGTACTTGCTTTAATTGTTTTCCTTCGATTTCTTTCTGTATTATTTACTATTATGGAACTCATGTTATTTACACTGTGCTAGGTCAATACATATAAGTAGTGACAGAAAACAATTAAAGCAAGTCTTGCATTTTCGGTTCAGTTTTGAACAGAGATTTTCCGAAGTTGACAAGTCTCTCTTTCTCACACCGCCCCTCCGTACTACATCATGTAATGTACACTATAGTGGATCGATACTATATGACAATGAAAGAGAGACTTGGAGCAAGTCTAAGTAATCCATGACCGCGATCATTGATGAACTTTAGACTTCGCTAATGCTTTCCTTTCCCCGGGGGTAAATAGCCAGGCGGAATTAGAACCGTCGCCGGGGGCTTACGCCCGGAACGGCGCTCCGCGCCATTGGCTCGGAGAATTACTCAGTTTAAAGTGAATTTTCCATGTCGGGGAAATATTGCCTACTTTGTGCCATACTTGCAAACCATGCAGCTTGTGCATTTTTTAAAGGTTATGCGATTCAATACCAGCTTATTATAATTATTGCAATTACAATTCCTTCAAGTCCCAGTTCAGTTATCTCTTTTAATACAAATGATCAACATTTGAGTTGCAAGAGTGCTCTCTCAAAGAGTGGAATTTTAGGCTATGTTTACATTGTTTCGGATCGGTTTTTGCTTCGTTCGCGAAACGTTACGGGCCAAGTGTAAACAGCTTCCGCTCAGCATAGCAAGTTTTTGTTTGCTAGACGCCATCTTGAGTCACGCATTGAACCGAAAATTGCTTCGATTGGTGTTTACATTACAATGAGAGCGTTATCACTTCGTTACCACTTCGTTGAGCGAACCGCTGCACCACCAGTTCGTTGCAGAAATTGAGACGATAACAACATTTCATATGTAAACAGAAGCCTGGTTTTTGCGTCGGACAAAAAGTGATCCGAGACAATGTGAACATGGCCTTACGTCCGTATTCTAAAAGCGCACTCACACTCAATGAGTGGAGGTTCAATCTGAGCTTCTATATTAAGTGTCAATGCTGTTTTTGAATAGCTTGAGGGTTAGTGTCGTACCTTACTATGTGACTACTCACACTCCAGCTAGTCAAAAACAGCAGTGACACTCAATAGAAGCTCAGATTGAACCACCACTCATTGCATGAGTGTCAGTGTGAGTGAGCCCTTAGAATACGGGCGTTAGACTCATACTCCACTCGCTCTCACACTTGAACAAGATTATAACGACACTCAGTGAAGCATAACTTACGCCTGTATTTTAAAAGTTCACTCATACTCAAAGAGTGCAGGTTCAATCTGAGCTTCCCGTGAGTGTCAGTGCTGTTTTTGAATAACTGGAGGGTTAACAAGAATGATTTTAATTAAATTTCACAACAACATTAGTGCATGTTTCATCGATGATTCATTAATGGGTGTAACCACCGGCGGGTATAAATAAAAATTTTACTACTACTACTAATACTATATGTCATAAAGCTTGTCATGCATTAAGTTCGCCACTACAATGTGCTTCATCAATCTACTGAAGATTCTTAATTGGATACAGCCGGCTGTATAGTAACTTTGAGGTAGGCGGGAAACTATAATAAATCTAAAAAACAAAGCTTTTTAAATTTAGGTAAATAAACAGCATTTATTTGTTATTTCCGCTTAAGTAATCCAAGAGAATCACAGTAGACAAGAAAATATCGTATCGCTTGTTCAATTTTGCAGCACTTTTTATTCTTCCAATTCACAACTCACAACAACAAAACATGCAATTTAATTATTATTCGAATGACTTCACTGGCGCATTTCCGCCTGGGAATTTCGCGGGAAACAGGTTGGAAAAGTCATTTTCAGGGAGAACAGCGGGAAATAATACTAAAAGAGGAAGTCGTCTAGAGATTAACCATCGCATGTTAAAATTTTGTTTACCTTTCGAATTCAAAATCAAAGCGTTGAGACAGTAAATTTCCCGTGTTTCCATACAGTTATAGAATCATATTTCTCGACCAATCAACGCTCGCCTACTATAAATGTTATATTTCGTATTCCTTCCTTTTGCAGACAACATTCTACCACCAACCTCTACCTTACTGCAACATATCCAAAATATGGCAAGGTTAGCGAATGAAGAATAATAGATACGAATATAGATAGGAAGGGTAGATACGGCTATCCACTATACTGGGTGTTAATTTACAAAAATACCTAAGATGCTGTGAAACTACGAATAGAGAACTTTCATGAAATGCCAGGTATCTTTTATCTAAGATTTCAAAACAGAATTTTCAAACAGAAAAGAGATTCCTAAGATTGTACACATGAAATTACCTTACGCTCACAAGTGCGCAAATGAGAAATCTGGACCAGTTGCAGTTAATGTATATTATCTGTATGAATACTGTTGTCTGTAACTGTACTAAAACAAATAATACGCATAAATAATACATAAACCACAGCTTAGAACTTTTACATCGTTCCTTTGAAATTCTCGCGGAATCTTGAAAGCATGAATGATGCAATGCTTGCCGACGATGCAATTTTCCCTTTTTCCCTAGTTCAAAATATTAATCTATTAATCTGTAGACACAAGTTTTTCGGTATTTTTACAGATTTGAAACAATCAAGTGAGGCTGAGAAACGTAGAACCACTATCCAGGTATTCAATAAGGTATGTGTCTGGTTTAAGTCCAAAAAGCAAATTGACGTATGGACTTTGTAATGTTAGATTTTGTTTCGAAATTTAATGAATTTGTTAACTTTCGCCCTTTTTACATGTAGTAACTCTAACTATAACTCTAACTTTAATTCCCACCGTGGACAGGCATATTTTTCAAGCTTGCTCAGTGTGGATATACACTCAGAGTAACATCACAAGGATCATATTCACCTAAGTACATTAGACCAACACAGAAAAATCTATAACTACCTTTTTATGCAACCAGCCCCTGGTCCTTACTTATATAAACGGCATGATCCGTAGGAAAAAAGAATTTTCTGGAGCACTCCTCTTATTTTGCTTTGCTCTTTCATTTTCCCCATTTCTTAGGAAAATCGCTGGCGCAAGCGGGGAATGAGTATTGTACCGTTGCGGTGGGGTGTGATGTATGTACCGGGCTTGCGATTCACGGCTTATGTGGCAATATTTCGTAAAGATGGTACAGTGTGTATAACACATGGAGGAGTGGAGATAGGACAAGGGATAAACACAAGGGTATTTATAATAATAAACTACACTTTACTGATGATGATGATGATGATGATGATGATGATGATGATGATGATGATGATGATGATGATGATGATGATGATGAGGACGACGACGACAACGACGAGATTTGTTGTTTCCAAATACTCGCCATCTTCTTGCGCCATTAATCTCACATAGTGGATGCTTATTTCACCACAAGACCTTTCAAAAATCCCGTTGTCGATCTATATGGCGTCAATGATGGCGTTAGAAGATCCAGTAAGAATATGGCGTATCCAAATAAGGAATACCATAGTCATACTCGTGCCCGTACCCAAATCTAGAGCTCCATAATATGCCTATGCCACTATGACTAAAGGTGCATGTGATTCTATAATAGGCAGAATTTCAACTTAGTACATTATTATTTCAATTATCTTTTTAATTGAACGATACCAGGCAGTTCAAATCCGTATCATGGATAAACAAAAATTATTCGGATTTTGTCTCGTTTTACTCTAGGTTTGTCAAGTTGCAGCCTACATTCTTGGCTACGGTTTGACTGTTGATCAAATCTCAATTCGACCAGCAACAAGTTTTCTCAATCCAAACGGTATGTTAATCTCTCTAATGATCCAAGACCTGAATATTAATTCCCCATACCTGTGGAAGTTCCTGGATGATACCACATCATCGGAAATTCTTCGCAAAGGCAATGTTAGTACAGCCCAAAACATAGCAGATCATATTAAGCAATGGTCAGAAGAAAATAGATTAAAGCTACATCCAGACAAATGTAACGAATTGAGAATTTCTTTTAGTAAGAACGCAGTTGTTCTAGATCAAGTCATACTTAATGGTAAAGAAGTCGAAATAGTCGAGAGTGCTAAATTATTGGGAGTAACAATAAGCAACAATCTAACTTGGCATGCCCATATAAAAGAGGTCGTCAAAAAAGCCAGTAAGAGACTATATTATCTGGTTCAATTAAAAAGAGCTAGGTTACCAGTTAAAGATCTTGTGTTATTCTATACGTCTTGCGTTATATCTGGCATGGATTACGCAGTACCAGCCATTTATCACTCCCTTCCACAATACTTAAAGAACGAATTGATTCGACTGGAAAAAAGGGCTATTTCAATAATAAATCCAGGAATGGACTACTCTGCAACAGGACAAATTTTGAACATCAAACCAATAGAAGAACACCATAATTTCTTATGCAAAAACTTGTTTGATAATGTTACAAAGGATCCAAACCACAAACTTTATGACCTCCTCCCACAGAAACATAACTGGCACCACGATCTCAGAAATGGTCATGAATTTGACATTCCTCATTTTAATACTAATCGCACTAAAAACTCTTTTATATTTGCGATGGCATCTAAGATGTCTTTGTAACGTTAGTGGTATCTTTTTTATTATCATCCTAGTAAAATTTTAAATATATTCATAATTTTAACTTAATAATTATAATAGATAATTAAATAATAATTCGTATTTTGTAAACTTTACGTAATTCAGCCTTTGGCTGCAATGTAAATGTTTTATTAAACTATCTATCTCCATCTAAAACTCCCTTTCTCTTAGTCTTTTTCTCATAGGTTTTTTTTTGCTAATGTTTGATTATAGTCACCCAATTCACAACTTTAGATAACTTGACTATTGTTCTAGTTTACAGAAGCATTAAATAGAACACAGGGGCCGGTTGTAGGAAGGTCGGATAGCGGTATCCACCGGATAGTGACTTTTTCAACCTTAGTAAAATGCTTGAAAAGCTGTGAAACTACAGATATAAACGACATGAGAAGTATAAAAAACATTTAACTTATAAATACTAAACATTAATACGAGTTACACCAATATATCAACGACTGATTTAACAAAGCTTGAAAAAATCACTATCCGGTGGATAACGCTATCCGGCCTTCGTACAACCGGCCCCAAGTGTATTACTTACATGAATGAATAACTCTTTTAAATAATTCGCCATGTTGCGATGGCAACAGTACTATTGTCAAAACCCAGCAGTCTAAATGTTCCACTGATGTTGTATATTGCCTTCAAGTTGAAAGAAATGCACGATTTGCGTTATTAGGCGTGTATATATACTGCGAAGTTGTTGGCTAAATAGGCACAACAGTAGGTAGCATCTTTAACTGGTTCTGATAGAACTGGTCATTAACAATTTTTGCTGGTTTAGTGTTTTAAATTATTTGTTTCCTAAAATTCGCTACTTAAAAGCCACTGAATTACGTCATTATGTACCAAACAACATATTAGCGTCTATGTACAAAGAGGAGCAGAGAGGCTGCATGTAAAATATTCTAGAAATCAGGGTACGTATATATATATATACATATATATACGTATCGAGCCGAAGGCGAGCGGCTATAGGCACCGATAAAGCGCAATCACGAGGTTTATAAATCACTTCTAAAATTCATGATCACCTTTTGTTTTGGGTCCCAATGAAATAATAAGAAATGTTAACTACAATAGTTCTATTGTTTTACGATTCTTTCCTTCATTGATCAGCAAGCAAATTAATGACTGGATTAATTATCAAGTCATACAAGTCGTTAAACGGAGTTTTCAAATGGAAATTTGAACATTTGACTAGTGTCGTTAAGGAGCCGGTTTCGAAGCGCTCGAAGTGCTGAAGAGGAGCAAACGTTGCTCGAAAGAGCGATGCTTCCAAGTACAAGATACGCGACAAAGTGGGCTTTGAAGATTTTTGATTCCTGGAGAGCCGCTAGAAAGGTTAAAGAAGTGAAGATCGACGATGCTGAGGTCATGAAGCTGATGTTATTGGCCCAATCCAGACATTAACTACATCGCTGGCGGAGATGAATGAAGCGTGTTTAGCATTTTGGTTAAGCAAGTTTGTTGGGTTTAAAGAGTTTAAAGTGGTGTGTAATCAAAATGAAAGAAAGGGTTGTTAATCCCGTGTTTAACAATTGCAACATTACCTTTAACTTTGGAAAATAAAGTATTTATTGATTTCTCGAATATTTGAGTTTTATTAGGAACAGATTAATAAACATTTTGTTAAAGAATGCTTTATAAAGGTACATGTACACACCGATCTATATCACGGTATATAAGGGTCATCATGTGACGAGATTTTAAGAAATTCATGAATTTTAGAACTCCTTCAAGCTATGCGGCAGTCGGCTTTCTGAAAAATGTATTCCCTATACCCGTCATCTTTAGTAAACAAATCCGATGAACGATCTCTTGAAATGACGTTTTCGTTTTACAGGTGATGCAACTGGGAGAAGTATAGCAAGCGAATTATGCTGTGAGGTGATGTATATTTACAGACTTTCTTACATACTTGTATTATACTGCACATTTGCTGTGCACCCTGTGCATCAAACACGGTTTGAACTGTGGCACCTATATTTCTTTTTGTCACCCATAACCGTTCTGTCATCCATAACCGTTCTCGCCTTATTCTGGATCTAACCCTGATGCTCAAGATTCTTTTTTTACACCATCACTTATCAGAATTCTCACTTCAACAGGATAGTAAAATAATGGAACATGCAGTGTTTGCAAAGTAGCTCCTCCAAACATGTCTCGAGTGTCAAGACATTTTTAAACGCAACTTTATTATTCTTATTTCATGTATTTGATTTCATGTAGCCTATTTGTATTTGATGCCAATCTGTAATTATGCACTTGGTCAATATCGCGTGATTGCCCTTGTCATAGGAGTTGACTGGCTCATTGTATGAACTGTCGCTAGTATTCAAATTGTTAACTATTAATTTATTCTATATGGTGTGTACGTATTTTGTTTGGAAAGGTGTATTGCATGGGTGGAGTATTGCATGGGTAGTGTATTATGATCCGTTCGCACCTCCTCCATTTGGGTACATTCTTATATGTTGTATTTGTCCTAAATTTGTAAAGTTGTTCATTTACTAATACGATTATATTAGTTATTTAACCTAGCAAACAAGCTCTTGAGTTCACGTTTGAACTATGTTCTTTGCCAATTAGACACACACCTTAAATTGACTCCTTATCAAAACGTTCTTGTGATTGTTTTGCTCTCACTGCCTGTAATTACTATACCTTTGAGCTATGACATTATTTCGTGTATAAATGTCTTGATCGTTATTACTCGTGTAGGCTGTCATAAATTGCTGTAATATGCTCAAGGAAAGGATCTCGTTGATTGCAAAAGATATGCCACAAGCAACATGGGGAGAAATTATTGACAAATGTTATGGCCTTGGTATTGATTTGTCTGCAAAATACATGTATGTATAGCTTACTAGGTTAATACAAAAATGGACACAGATATCGTAAATGCTCTAATTGCAAATAGCGTCATCAATAGCCAGGCATGTTAAATATTTTACTAAAATATTTTACTAAAATAAAAATGTTATAACAGTAACTAAAATATTTTACTAAAATAAAAATGTTATAACAGTAACTGTTCGCTATTCATGCAGTCCACTCCGCCATATTTTTGAGATGGGTGAGGACGAGAACCCATGAACGTTGAAGCATAGTCATGCGCCGACGATTATTCATGAACTTTTGACTTCGCAAATGCTTAATTTCCTTTCCCCGGGTGTAAATAGCCGGGAGCAATTAGTACCCTCCCTCCGCGCCGTTGACTTGGAGACTAGTACACCTAAAGTATATCCATCTTCGCATGAAAACTCGAGAAACTCGGGAAGTGTGTAGTTTAATGTAACTTTAACTTTCCCAAAGTCGCTTGACCATTATTTGCTGTATGTTGAACTCTAAAAGCACCCTGGTTAAAATTTCCTGGTTAACCAAGAAATAACACTTGCTTGGGTTAACTTTAAATTTCCTGGTTATTCTATCTCATTGCTTACCATAGCCTGGTGCAGAAATCTACTAAAATTGTGTAGTGCTTAATCTGAAATTTGCTAAATTTGTGTAATCCTTAGTGAAATATTTTTACTATCTAATGTGAATATTTAGGGTGTTGCCGAAAGCTGGCCAACCTTACAACTATAACATATACGCTGCGACTTGCACGGAAGTGGAGATTGATGTCCTTACTGGGGAGACGGAAATACTTAGGACTGATATTTTATTCGACTGTGGTAAAAGGTAAGCAATATTACTTACACTCTGCCTGGAGAATCGAGATTCATGCTAGTTAAAACCTAGTATATGCCAATTGTCCTCCCACTACAGTCGATCATTAAATGTCCTGAATGTTCATTCCCCTAAATGCCGTAGCGTGGCAACAAGCAAATAATGCAACATTCTTAATTTTTGGCTATGCGAACTGTGGAGCTTGCGATGAAAAATCCTGTTTGTATAGTCCAAGAGTCGTCATTATGAACTCTCTAAATCTATCTGTCAGCAAAAATATAAGTCTTAATAAAGCTGTTCATGCTTCTTCTGGTAGCCATCTTCATTTTTGCTTACTTCCAGTTTCCAGTTCTTTAATGCAGGAAAGAGGAAATATTTGCGTTTTGTGTTGAAACAGCAATTTGCGTGCATATATTTCGCAGAATTGGTACCTATATAAGTCATTTATCTGATAGGTTAAGTTGCGTGATTTCCATATTAGCAGTACGCTGTTAGCTAATGAGAAGGCACGTAGTAGCGACAGTACATTATATTTTTGTGTAGTATGAATCCTGAGATTGACATTGGGCAAGTTGAAGGCGCCTTCGTCATGGGTCTTGGTTACTGGTTGACCGAACAAGCAATTTATGATCCTTCGTCTGGCCTGGAACTTACCAATGGTACATGGGTAGGTGCTACTTTAACTATAAACTAGAAAATACATGCATGCAGAAACCCTTGCCTTGCTGACAAAACCATTGTATTTTCCGAACATGAAGTATCTAAAGTAGTTGTCATGGTAACACGATAATTTCTTAAGAATATTCTTACAAATGAAAAATCGCTTAAAAATATCACTTTTAATTACAAAATTATCAATTTCCTAACATATATATGTTAGGTATGATATTATACGTAATATAAGCTTCAATTTAAGGTAAAATTCGACCACAAACACTTCGCAAAACGTTCTAAAGTGTTCTTTATAAAACTAAACTGCCTTTTTAGAACTTTGAGTTTGCAATAAAATGATTTCAAATTCTCGCATGCAAATAACTTTGATTTCCTTTCTATTTAAAAAAAATCAGTATAATAAAAAAAGGGAAACAATATTAAAGATACACTGAAATGGGGCCCGATATGCTGTCTTGTTTAGTTGTTTCATATACGCAAAGGCCGTCGGGTTTTAAAGCAATTATAAAATCAATATTTAAAACAACCTAATTACCTTCGTTAACGTCGGCTCCCTTCTTTTAGCCGATTCTTTCGCCATTTCTTTCTTGAAATTTACAAAACCTTGCAAAAATGCGAGCAAAAATGAAATATATTTCCAAGAAATTTATCAATCATCAAATAAAGAAATGTTTGCTATTTCGCTGTCGTCATGCAGTCGTTATAATGCAAACTTTAAATTGGACCAATCACAGTGTTCGCTATTCATGACAGTCCGCCATATTTTTGAGATCGGTGAGAATGACCACCCACAGTTGGTGACCCACGCCCGCGATATTTGATGAACTTTAGACTTCGCTAATGCCTTAATTTCCCCGGGTGTAAATAGCCGGGGGGAATTAGTACGGCTCGGGGATAATAGGTTGGCTTCGATATATAGCAACTCCACACATCTTAGCTTGCAATGGATATATTTTTACCAAATAATATTAAGAAGTATACGTGTTTTAGCCTTGGAATAAACATTTATATGATATTGCTACAACTGATCTCGCTAGACTACAATTGTTTCTGATTCGAGATTCTTCACGAGCTTGGGGTGATGTAGAGAAGCTTTCCTGTGGATGCTTCGCTAAAAGTGCTGTGGGCGTGCTAGATATATATGCTTTGTTTTGTGCTTTTTTGTTGTTATAAGTTTGTATTTTCAAGTGTGCCGAAGCGCTAGCGTTTATATTATACCGTTGCAATATGAGGGGAATACAACACGTATAATGCGCACGCATTATAACCTATATTATTATATGGCAAGCATCACTTCCGGTGAAAGGCGGACTGTGATTGGCCAAAAACACTGTCAGCGGTCCATTATTTTCCGGCGGTCCGTTGCGTAAAACCAAATGCATGTATTAAAGCAAATCAGCAAAACTAATTGAAAATTTGGAAATTGTAATTTAATTTGTTATTAATAAGATATTTACGAATGGTTTTTAGTGAAAAAGAAGGAATACATTCTTTCTTCCGTTTTCTTGGACCAAATGTATACCACGCTACTAATATGCATTTCAAATTATACATTTCTTGTTTGTTTCAAGTACAAATGCCTATAAATACCATATATAAATAAACTTTTTATTAACTTCGCATGCTCGGTATGTACAGAGAAATATCGTACCTCGGTCTTTTTGTACAAGCCTCACCCTCGGGCTCGGTCTGTACAAAAAGACCTCTGTCCGATAATTCTCTTTTCCGTTAGTAATTGGAAAATGGCACACTTTTGTAAAATCTTCACTGTACCTGCTGTTGATTATATGAATTGATTTTACTAACATCGTTTCTCTGATTCAGGATTACCACCCCCCGTTTTCTAAAGATATCCCTATAGATTTCCGGGTGTCCCTTCTTAAAAATGTTCCAAACCCTCTCGGTATTCTTGGCTCAAAAGGTAAGATAGTGTAAATAAAAATATAATGTAGCTGATGGTTTAATTATCAATTTCAGTCGTGTATAGTATAGAAAGTTAAGGTACTCACTGGCTAACCATGCTTTCATGGTCGAATAATGATTGTCACAGAGTTGTTACAGTTATCGCCAATAAACGAAAGATTTTCCGAAATGACTGGGGGTTAAGGGGAGCACCCTCTGCCTGGATATTTTTTCGTCAAATTTACGTTTGAGATATTCTTTCATCATTTACAAAGTATAATGATATAGCTAGCCTGTTATTTTCCTACCAGTCTCAACAAAAATACAATACTCATTATACACTACCTTAATGTCCGTTCTCGAAGGATATAGTTAGTTTTTGGTCGAGGGGAACACTGAGGTTCGTCGGAAAACAGAACAAACTATTTTGCGAGGAAAGAGACATTAAGTGTTTTGTTATATAGCGACGAAGAAAACAGTAAACAACATTCACAGAACAATTATATTTTATCTACAAAACAATTCTATTTCGAAACTGTTTAATGTGAATGATTTCAACAAAAAAGAACATGCTAAGAATTTTTCATTGCTGTTGCCTGTTTAGTAATTTTTCTTCTCTGTTAGATTCCTCATTTGTTATGTAAGCTAACGATAAATGTGCAAAATTTCCTCATTTTCTAGCTGTTGGTGAACCACCGCAATGTATGTCATGTTCGTGCCTGTTTGCTCTTCAAGATGCGATATACCACGCCCGTGAGGAGACTGGACACGACAAAGATTACTTTCCGTTAGATGGTCCAGCTACAGTGGAAGTCACACAGTTGAAATGTTTAGTTGATCCTTCACAATTTATTATGTAACTATTCATTGAACAAAATTTATAGAATGAAGTATGAACATATGAACATATGAATGAACATAATTTTTAATGAGGATACCAACTTCACAAGTAGTGGTTTACAGAGGGGTCCTCGGACAAGTAAACATATACTAAAAATAATTAAATTACAAATGAAAATTACTAGACAGAACAAACAAGTTATTATAATTCAATTCATTGCGTTTCTTAAATGAGGTTATCGAGGTGGAACCTTTTAATTAATTAAATCATCATCCAAACTATTCCAGACTTGATAGCCTTTTAACATCATCCAAACTATTCCAGAAATTATAGAATGAACTAGCAAATTCATGACAAAAACTCTATAGTGTAAACGAGTTTAAAATTAAAAGATCCTACTTAAACGGTTTCAGCAGCATATCCTGTTGCCTGTTATGTATTTTTCTTCTCTTTTAAATTCTTTATTTTAACACAAAGGTGGAAAATCGTAGTATATAAATTTGCGAGTCGTCCGGCCATTTTGTTTACTTATGTAAGTAGCCAGTTGGAGCGGGCAAAGATTTTTCTCTCTAGCTATATAACAACGCCATATTATGTGCGATGGACGAAAAGGAATAAATGTTTCCGAAAATAAAGAAATCTACTTGTTTCTACAAGTTCTTTTGCGCATGCCCAGTGCCGATGTTCGATTCTACCACACAACCCCAATAAAGGAGTATGACTAGAGATACATGCATGCAGAAACCCCTCGCCCTTATTTTCCTAAACATTTTTTAAAATGAAGTATTCTAAATTACGCCACCACTGAACGCAGGCTCTCGTTGCCGCGTCATGTTAGCCATGGCAACAGAGTAGACTTTCGTCGACACTGCATAAAAATACTCTTTATTAATTTGAAAACCTCTAATTCAGGAGAGCCTGTAAGTTTGCTATTTACACTTTCATAAAAAAGTACAGTTAGTTTGTGCTATAAAAATCTAATAAAATTATTTAACTATACATAATTTTAACACTAAAATATTATTACACATGCACAAATACTATATACTTATAACAGTGCTTTAACCAGCACTTATACTCTAATCTAAAAGGTTGTTAATTTTCAGAAATATATCCATAATTCCTCTGGCGGGAATAATTAGAAAGAGATAAAGTTCCTCTTTGTCATTTCTGAACATCGGATAATTGACACTTAAATGAGTGGAATACACGTCCTCCTCACAAAGATTGTGCAAGTAGCAAATTTCTTGAATGGAAAGCTGATCTGTTAGGTTAAGTCCCATAATTTATCGCGTTCTTGGGATGTTCGTTGGCAATTCATAATAAAATGATATGGAACATCATACAATTGTTTGTCACAAAGCCTACATATGTAGTGCGTTTCGTGGTCTTCCACAGCCTTCATAACTATTGACGGTACATTTCCAACCAGTACATTTACTAAATTAGAAAGTATTTCCCGATCCTTGGGGTAGCACATAGCAACTTCCCAGTGCACAATAGGCTGCAGTTTTTGGTGGTTTTCGCGCAGGGGTTTCAAGTTTGGCTTGCACTGCATTTTGTCTTTCCAGCATTCTGTTTCATGTTCATCGATGGGTTTAAATTAACAACATAGTTCCTCCACGACCGTTTATTTGGAAACACACCTGTCTTAATGTAATCTTCCAGATAGTGATATAGTTCATATTTCCCTAACACTTCAACAATATCTGCGACGTATCCGACTGAAGAAAGTTCATTATAATAAATAAATGAAAACAGTCTATAAACAAAGATTTTCTTGTGCAATTGCGACGGCGATGAGCGACATAAAGTTCCTAAGAATAAAAGTTACTTCTTATCAATAAACCCAGTAATCGACCACAAGCCAACTGTTCCCAAGGCACCTGCTGAAGCTGTTGTTGGCGTAAGACCTTGTAGCCTTTTAGCTGCAAACGCTCCAGCTCGGTTAAGCGGATCTAACTCAGTGATTGTTTGCGTTGACCAAACCTCAGAGCCATACAACATTGAAGGTAAACCAAATGTTTTCCACGAGTTCATACCGCAAATCGGATTTATACCGCTTGGTCGTACTCCAGCGTTCATTAGCATACCAGCAGCTTGTTTCCTTTACTAGCAGCAATTTTTTATCTCTCGTAATTTGAAAAATTGCCGCTCAGCATTATACCAACATGTTCCCATGAAGGTTTTTCAGATATTTTAACACCTTTGATATACCAACTTCTTAACGGCTTCTTGAGCAAATGCATTTGTGTAGTCTCTACAAAGGTTACAATTGTCGTTTTGCTGGGATTAAACTCGAATCTCCATTGGTAACTGTACATTTCCATTCTATCAAGTAGGCTTTGAAGACCTTTAATTCTAAGAGATATTAAGGTAACATCGTCTGCAACTAAGACTGAACTGCAATTGATATCTTGCACACTTAAGGCGGTTTTCCACTAGGCGAAATTTTTCGACCGAATCGAAATTTCTCTTTGTTTCATGAGCTCTCAAGCAGAACTAATTGTAAAAAGACAAAGTGAAATTTCGTTTCGGTCGAAAAATTCCGCCTCGTGGAATCAGGCCTTTAAGCCTGGTTCACACGATGAAATAAACATAAGCACAAGCAGCGGAACCTTTGATGTGCATAAACGTAAGCATAAGAAGAACGCAACATTTGTTCTTCTTATGTTTACATCAAAGGTTCCGCTTGTTTATGCTTATGCTTATGCTTATTTCATCGTGTGAACCAGGCTTTAGGCCGCGGTCACACTAGCGCTAGAATCGTGCTTACTTGAACGTAATCTACTTGAATCTGTCAACAGGTCAGCCTACAAGCACGTTTGATAGTGTGACCGCACAAAACGCATAATCCGAGCTTGCTTGAAACTTGATACATTTTGCTTGAAACTACAAAAGTACCGCAGCAAGATTCAAGCACGGTAGGGACGGTGACTGAACTGTGCTAGAATGCATATCTCAAGAGGATTTATACAACGCGACCAATAAAAGCGCTCCCTGTTTAAGTATCAATTAGAAATCCTGATAAGACCAAAAATTGCATTAACGCGCCAATTTCGAAATACAGACACATATTGCAGGCAGTCGCACTATCTTTCGTATTCTAAAAAATCAGAATGGATTCAACTCCGAACCGAAAGCAAAACAAAGAAAGTGCGATCCAACTCCTGGTCTAGGAATAACCCAAAACTCACGATCAACTCTTGGGTTGACCACTCTGGCGATCGCGATAAAAAGCAATGTTGTTGTCGTCTGAAGCATCTGCAAGCGTCGCATGTTTTGTTTCATTTGGTAAAGCACAAGGTACATTCGTCGCCTTCTGCGATTAAGCGCTCTTCGTTTTTTAGCATCGAAACGCGAAAACGTTGATACATAAAATGGAATAAAAGCAAAGAATCTCTGTCCATTTTAAGTCTATATATATTTATATAACGAAGAATTGCGTAAATGTAAATTTAACAAAAACCATGCAAAGACACTTTATCTGTCATTACAATCTTAAGCAAGCATAAGTACTTTTTCAGTGTGACCGCGACGTGCTTGCTTAACATTCCAGCACTTGCTTTAATGACGTCACAAGCAAGCACGCTAATCCTTTGCTAATCTGCAAGCACAAGCGCTAGTGTGACCGCGACCATCCATAGTCCGCTGATTGGAGTACATCCGGAATATCATTATTATAACATAGAAACAGCCACGGAGAAAGAACGCCACCTTGCCTTACACCTTGCAATACTGGGAACACAGACCACGTTTGCCCATTTAAGGAAACATAACAGTGCATCTTACTATACCAGTTCCTTAAGATTTTCCAGGATTTACCATTCATACCCAGTAGGAAGAGTTTATAGAACAAACCGTCCAACCATACGGAATCGAATGCCTTACTTGAATCCAGGAAACAGCAGTAAACTTTACTTCCTCTCTCAACGTTATGATTGATCGTTTCTTGCAATACAAAACTTGCCAAGGTGCAACATTTGTCCGCTTGATAAGCAAATTGGTAATTATTTGGAATACCCATAGTTTCAAATTTAGGAATCCATCGATTTAGTATTAATTAACCGTTCAAATATTTTGCCTACTACATTTAACAAAGTTATACCTCTGTAGTTTTCTTTATTGGATCTGTTCTTCTTTCCAGATCGTGACTAAAACACCACACGAGTACATACGAGTAACACACGAGTAACACACAAGTACATACGAGTACATACGAGTACATACGAGTAACATACGAGTAACATACGAGTACATACGAGTAACACACGAGTACATACGAGTAAAACACAAGTACATACGAGTATAATACGAGTACATACGAGTAGAATACGAGTAAATTACGAGTAGTAAACTTGTTTTTAGTGTTTGTAGATTGAATACAGGCAAAAAGATCGTCTTCTCTGTCGAAAAACGTGGAATGGGGGAATGGAGGAACGGGGAATGGAGAACGGGCAATGGGAGAACGGGGAATGCGGGAACGGGGGAACAAAAAACGCGGGGGGGGGACAGAGGAATCGGGGAATTATGAATTATTATTAATACGTAATATTAATCATATGTACGGGGGGAAAAAGAACAGAAAAAAGAAACAGAAATCCGATAGGATAAACGGGAATTGGGGAATTACGAAACTATAAAACGGACTCTGGTGTCTTGGGAATTAGAAAACCGCTCAATGAATTAAAACTAGTAAAGAAATTTAGCGAAGCTTTCCTTTATTAGTACAGCGTATCATAAAAAGGTCAATCCACATTGCTTATGTCCGATCATTAAGTAATATCAATAATAATAACATTGCTTATGTCATTACTGATATACTTGCTATATAATAAAACAAACTTAAGGACTAGATGCAAGCCCAAGGCAGTCCTTATGCTCCACATGATATCTTAAAGTGATTATCCTATTTTAAATATCTTACCAAACAAAACTAACAAAACACAAAATACTTCAAAATACGCAGATTTTAAGCTAGCAATTTAAGTTGGCAAGTACGTTTCAAAAGGACCCAGCCGAACTCTCCTGCAAGCCTTTGGACGTGCTCCACCTTGAAAAGGGAAGGAAAGTCTGGAGGAACGAGAACGTCGCCAAGAAAGCTTGGATACTTTGCTCTGATGCAGGCTGATCGGAAATGAAAATGCACGTTCTGAGGCTCACTTGAAAACTGGATTTGTCCTGCAGGGCCTTTTTTAACATACAAGCTGGGGGGCCATTTGCCCCCCCCCAGTCCCCCCTTGTGCCCCCCCCCACGAAATCACATTTTGCCCCCCCCCCAGAAAAAGTCCCTTTTTCCTAAATTTATACAAACAAACCAGCGAAGAATAACAAATTGATAAACGGAACGTAAGTTTTAGGCTTTATCCTTTGTCCTTGTTTAACGAATCGATTTAAAGGACTGTGTCACCGCGTGCGCATCCTACGTGTTTCTAACACTAAGTAATGATAAATTATTGTTAATATTTTTAAAATTCTTTGTGCGTTTTTTCCTTCTTTTATTTCAAATAGAAGTATAGTTAGGATAAATTTTAGAGCAAATTTAGATGCTCAGACGGCAGGAAATGGCATTTTTGGGCTTCAAATTTCAAAACTTTTCTGGGGAAGTATGCCCCCAGACCCCCCTATTCATTCACGGTATGTCGGCCACACACGTGACCCACGGCCATTGCTATCCCCCTTTAATAATAAGTAATGGATAAATTATTGTTAATATTTCTTTTATTTTTTCTGCATTTTTTCCTTGTTTTATTTCAAATACAAGTATAATTAGCATAAATTTTAGAGCAAATTTAGATGCTCATAAAGCAGGAAATGGCATTTGAAAGGTTCAAATTTAAAACATTTTCCGGGGGAGTATGTCGGCCACACACGTGGCCGTCGGCCTTTGCTATCCCCCTCTAATATATTATCTCACAGAAAGGTCCCTTTTCAAAAAATGCCCCCCCCCCCACGGGAAAATCCTTAAAAAAGGCCCTGTTGTCCTGTATTTCGGTCTCGGAACTGTCGTATGTCGTCACGGTATACGTTAACTGTGTAGTTCGTATATTTGCCTAGCCACATGTTGTGATTGAGGCTATGTGAGGATTGTAAGTTTATCACCTAGTACTATTTAAGTAGATGCAGTTAGGTTATGTGCATGCTCACAGGGTTTTGAAAGCAAACCATGCCGTGAAATATGTGAAGCCTATGGTTTGTGTCATGTATCTAACTATCTAGGTAGAATACCTAAAAGTAGATGTTGTACAAACTACAAAGTTGTGGTTTATAGAATCGGGCAGACCTCCTCCGCCCCCTATTTCCTCTCCCCCTCGCCCCACCATTCCCTCCGTTCCCCATTCCCCGTCCCCCCATTCCCCGCCTCCCATTCCTCGTCCCCCCATTCCCCGTTCCCGCATTCCCCGTTCTCCCATTTTCCGTTCCTCCATTCCCCCATTGCCCGTTCCCCCATTCCCCGTTCCTCCATTCCCCCGTTTCTCCATTCCCCGTTCCTCCATTCCCCCATTCCCCGTTCCCCCATTCCACGTTTTTCGACAGAGAAGATCTTTTTGCCTGTATTCAATCTACAAACACTAAAAACAAGTTTACTACTCGTATTTTACTCGTATTCTACTCGTATGTACTCATATTATACTCGTATGTACTCGTATGTACTTGTGTTTTACTCGTATGTACTCGTGTGTTACTCGTATGTACTCGTATGTTACTTGTATGTACTCGTGAGTTACTCGTATGTACTCTTGTGTTACTCGTATGTACTCGTATGTACTTGTGTGTTACTCGTATGTTAGTCGTATGTACTCGTGTGGCGTTTTAGTCACGATCCTTTTTTCCACCTTTAAATAGGGAAAAACTGTTGCCAATACTCCATGCACCCGTAACATACTCCGATTCTCTAACAGCATTGAAAATCTTTGTCAAAACTTCAAAAAGTAAATTTCCTCCAAATTTGACATGTTCATACGAGAGTTGGTCGGGACCACTTGCCTTCCCATTTGGGAGCTTGCTACATACGTCAAAAACCTCATCAAATTGAAACGGATTATCTAGAGGGTCGTCATTTTCGTAACTTTCCGTATGAAATTGCACAAGTTTGTTTTCAACAAATTTCTTAAAGTCATTGTCAAAGTTTGGATTGTCTTTTGGAGTGTATAAATTACAAAAGTGCTACCGCCACACATCAAGCACCTCAGAATCGTTGCTTACACGATTACCATCAATTTCTAAGACTTCTCCATTATTTACCCGTTTTGGGTTCTTCATTCAAAAACTCATTAATAATTCATGAAGCAATTATCCAATCTTGAGTAAGAAATTAGTCACGTGCATACGTCTTTATACCAGCTAAAGAACACTTTAACAAAAGACCATTGTTATGCAAACTATATAAAGATTTTTATATAAAGATTTTTATATAAAGATTTTTATATAAAGATTTTTATATAAAGATTTTTACATAAAGATTTGACTTATTATGCATACGTTTTTGAAGTCACTTAAAAAACTCACGGGTCGTGTTTTATTAGGTCTAAAGCCACTCGCGCTGCGCGCTCGTGGCTTTAAACCTAATAAAACACTCCTGCTCGTTTTTTAAATAGTACATTTAGAAATCCTGTTGTAGAATTTGCTTCTTTCAATGTCATGTTGGCTCTCCAATTTCGCCGTTTACCTCATCCTCATGAATGGCTTGGCGTTGGGCCTTACGGAAATTATATTTAGCTTTTTTGTAGTCTTTAAAAAACTGATTGTTACTATCTCTAGGTTCGCCTTCATAAAGCCATTTTCTCCAACATGTTTTAACTTCTCGATTTAGAGACGTAAGTGTCGGATTCCAGTAGTGTTTTCTCACGGGCTTAAATACTCTAGTTGGAATAGTCTTGTCCGCAGTAATTTTCAAGTGACTAACGGTGTGATCAACTAACTGTTCGATAGCATTTGGAGTAATCGCCTCTGACGAAAATATGTTAGTTATGTGTTGGTTCCATTTTAGGTCTTTAGAAATTGTCAAACCTGGGATTCCTGCGTGGTTCACTGTCTCGATTTGACCTGAGATGATCTTAAGGCGCGGAAATTCTTTCCCAGGTTTTGTAAAACTGATAACAAGTTCCTTGACCTGGGGAGGTATTTAATTACATCCAGGGGTGTAGGAACCGGGACGGGCTCGGGGGGCACGTGCCCCCCCCCCCAATTTTTCAAAGGACTAAAAGTGCCTTTTTTTAATTTTGTGATGAAAAGTGCCCTTTTTGTGATGAAAAATGCCCTTTTTGTACAAGCTAAGGGACCATTAATTATTTATGACTGGGGGTGGGCTCGCAAAAAAAAATATTTTTTTTGTCATGAGTTATTTTTGACCGAAAAAGGGGGGGCCTCAAAATATTGGTTCAGAAGGGAGGTCCATTTATTTATTATAGTGGTATTATATTGGAGAAAAATTTGACATGTAACAATTATTGCTACCACAGGGAGCGAGCAAGGCAGCAAATTTAATTCATGTAACTGGCATAATTCTCAATTTTAATCAACAGATAGACCCAAAATGCAATGCACACAGGGCCGTAGCGAGGGGGTAATGGGAGGGGGGTTAACCCCCAACTTTTGTAGAATTAACATATTCGGAAAATCGGGTTGGCCATTCGGAAAATTACGGCAATAATAGTATAACAAAATTTTAGTTGTTTAAACAGAGAAAATATTATAAAATGGTATTGTCAGTATAAACCATTGGTATAAACTGATTTACGATAACAGCCCTTACAATAATTTGCTGATAAATCATGCACACCTTTATCATTTAAATAAAATACCTTTAAAATACTGACAATAGACTAGAGGTGTGCATCGGATCGGATGTTTATAATCTGACAATTGCCTAATGTTTAAAATCCGATCCGATCCGAAATTGTCTAATCCCAATCCGTTCCGATCCGAGTTTTGAAAAAGAATTCCAATCCGATCCGAAGAATTCTTAAATAAAACAAATTTCTCATTCAAGTTGAAATATTACTTAACCAAGTACATATAAAAGCAAGAAATACATGTCAAGAAGCTTACAAAGTGACGTTCAATTGAACTTGATCAAACGAATAATGCAGCGACAACCGCGATGATACTTTGATAAATGCATGGATAATTAATTCTTGCGATAATGCTGGATAATTAATTCATTTTATTTCAGATATCGAAGTCCGATCCGATCCGACTACGAAACAACTTTATATCAATCCGATCCGAAATGAATATTTTGGTTCCGAAGTCCGAACGAATCCGATCGGATCGGTTCCGGATCGGATTTGCACACCTCTACAATAGACCTTTCCCTTTCTGAGTGAAATTTTGATCTAGACAAGTCTGGACAAAAATTTCATCACATGCAGCTTGAAAGAGCATCACAAAATTAGTAATATTCCGAAGTTTCGTTGCGAAATGTTGTAAAATGCGGATGATATAGCCTTGCGAAGTTTGCCGCTTTTCAGTCATTTATTTTGCATTACAAACGGGAAATTGATAATCAGATGATCAAATTGATTACCAATTTTCATTTGTAATGCAAAATGACTGAAAAACGGCAAACTTCGCAAGGCTATATTATCCGCATTTTACAACATTTAGCAACGAAACTTCGGAATGTTTTTTTTTCGAAAAATTGTGATGCTCTGTGATTTCTCCAGGCTTGTCTAGATCAACTGAAATTTTACTCATAAGGGGAAAGTTAATTTTAAGCGGCTACATTATCCATGACAAACCGCAAAGAATCATATTACCCATACTCTTTCCTGCAATATATAGTTAATTAAATACGCCTTCGCCCATTTAGTTCTACTAAATTGTAAGCAAATTGTAAATTTCGAAATACTAAAACTCTATTAACAACTCGAACCGACTTGACATGCACGTAGCTCAGTTGGTAGAGCATTGAAATAGTATCCCAATAATCGCGAGTTAGACACCCACCGTGGCGAAGCAAACTTTTCAGCTTGCCCGCTGTGGATGCATACTCAGAGTAACATCACACATATCATACTAAAACTCTGTTTTCTGACCATCAGAATTCTGTGAATACTTCCACAAAGTCCAGGAAATGGCATTTCAGAGAATCTAAATATAAAAATTTCCTCGCGCCTTTGGTCCTCGTTCCTAGGCCCCAATAAAAAGAGCTTCCTACGGCACTGCATGCTTCTGTAATACGTCTTTGCGTAAACTATGTGTATTTTCGTTTGTAAATTGCACCTTCATTTTCCGGATAGCAGACACCTTCGTGGCTTCGTATGCCATAAAATATTCGGAAATTTTTTTCGTCTTTTGGAAATTTTTGGCCTACCCCCCCCCCCCCAATTATACATGCTAGCTACGGCCCTGAATGCACAAATACCCAAAATGCAATGCGCGCGGCTAATATGAAAAATAATCGAACATCTACCTTTATAACTTTTGCCATGAACTTGCCATAATTTTTTTGTCATATTTCAGCTTCCCATTCTCTCGTGCCCGCGAATACCGCCTGCTACGCAGGCTAGTCATATTTCAATTATGTACATTTTAGTAAAAAATATAATTAACAAGTAAGCAATGTAGCAACATTACGTCCAGGGAAAGTTTGACATATACTATATACACTTGTTTATACTAGGTATTTTATACATGGTTTTATTTAAAATGTCCGGAGTCAAATGTCCGAGTCACTAACTGTTTAGCGGTCTTTGTAGTTCATTGACGTAGTACCCTAACCATACTCCTAATCCAGGGCCGTAGCAACCGGGGGCGCTGCAGCCCCCCCCCCCAAAAAAAAAAAATTGCTAATACTCATTCTTTTTCCAAAATCATGCAGACCTTTATCATTTAAATAACATACCTTTAGAATATTGACAATTGAATAATTTTAAGCAGCTAAATTATATCCCCATGACAAACTGCAAAGAATGAAGATATTTCTCATACTTTACTGCAACTTATCCAATATATAGTTAATTAAATACGCCTCCGCCCATTTTTAAATTGTAAATTTCGACATACTAAAATGCTGTGTTTTCTTACCATAAGAATTCTGTCAAATCTAATTCCCTCGAAAGTCCAGGAAATGGCATTTTAGGGACTCTAATTTTAAAATTTCGTCGGGCCTTTGGCCCTCGCTTTCAGCTCCCCAATCAAAAAGAGCTTCCTACGGCACTGTAACCCTAAGCCTACTCCTAACCCTATACTCCTAACCGATTTTACTCGTCAACGGGGAAGCTCTGCTCGACATGTCCCGATTGTGCTCGGCAACTTTTTGCGTTTGGAGCAACTTTTTTCGGCTCGAGCAACTTGAAGCAATTTTTTCCTTTTTGAGCAACTTTTTGCTACATTCTTAGTAGTGAAAAATGGTATGACCCCCAGCTTTAGCCTCTTCGGCGCTCTGCTTGCGCTTAATGGTTAACCAAAAAATCTGACAATGTCTCTAGTTAACCCATTGCACCCCACTACTTATTTTTGTACTTGTTTAACGCCAGATGATTTTACTCGTCAACAGGAAACTCTGCAGCTTAATGGGTTAAATAGGCATGCATATTAATTGTTGAAAGCACAAATAAATGAAAGATCTGATGCTTTTTACAACAAGTTTAAAGAGCTCATTTCTATACAGTACTGTACATTTATTATAGTGTCGGTGGTGGTTGGGGGGGGGGGTTACTATTTTTTAGAATTCATGTGACGGCCGACGGGGGTCATTGAATTTTTTTGTGATGCAAGGGGTGGGGCAGGATATTTTGATTAGTTGTTAATTGAATTTTTCCAGCCCACCCCCGGTCATAAATAATGAATGGTCCCTTAATTAATAGGTCCTTTTCAGCTAGCTAATTCTCGGCGGTTCCAAAAATGTTTGCTTAATTAATTTAAAGACAGTTATCTCAGTCAATATTGCATGAAAAGGTACAAGACATATATCAAAATTTAAGTTAAACATCGTGGAATATACGGTGACTTATTTAAGTGTAATAGCTCTTTTACTTTTTAAGTCATAATAAATCAAACTATCCTACTTTTTTGCCCCACCGGTATTGTTTTGCCCTTGAATTAATGGTCATTGTTTTCCGAGGGTCATTGCATGTGTGCGGGAAGTCTGACAATTGAGGACTAAATCTGATTATTTTATTGGCTAGGTATTATCCCATAGAGCACAATTATCAGATTGTTTCAGACGAGCAAAACTGTCTTTATTGGATGGCGTAAGACATCTATACAGTATAAGTAAAATACAAAAAAGGGCGCATTTGGGTGCATCGCTGCTTAAAGGTAGGTTAAAGTCGCATCTGCGCATGCGCTGGACTTTGTTTACGTTTTTTGTTTTGATCCACATTAATTATATAAGATGAAGTATATGACGAGTTCAAAGTAACATTCCACATAATTTGTGACCGAGGAGTGCAATGTTTTACAATACTTCGCTGCATTTATTGTACATTTCTACACTGGAAATTTTTGTACACAATAACACAATCTTATACTGTAAGTAAACATTGTGAATAAACAGGCCGCTTTGAACCTTGTGTGACTTGCTATATACAACAGCTGGGGCGGCGAACCGAAATCCCGAAGGTGTGAGTTCGAATAATTTGTGTTTAGTGTTTACCTTTGGAGTTTGTGTCTAATCACGAAAATAGTTCATGTGGTATCAATCCCTCGAAACATGTTGCCAGAGTTGTTGTTGTCATTATGACAGAAGCACTTGGGGAAAGCTTTTCGCTTGACGAAATTCGAAACAAGTGTGATTGAGAATGTGGTTGCAGTTCCTGTCTTCGTGCCAAAGCCAAGTGCGAAATTTTTGACCGTGCAAAAGCTGGATAAACAGCTTTTGTTCAAGCTCGTGCGTTATGGAGATAATTTTGGATGCTGTTTTAATATAAACAACAGAAGAGTTCAATAGATTGACAGTGACGAGAGTACGAGACGCTAAGATTATATTCAACTTTTTTGTGTTATAAAAATGTATGTTTTGAAATTATGAACTGGAAGTATGAATTCATTGATATTACTCTCATATTGACATTAAATGATGATATTCTTGTGACACTGAATGATCTAATATTAGCTTCAACAATTCTGGTGATCAGATTACTTCATCATGTCTCTTCAAGACGGAGGACAATTGCTAAATATATGCTTGTTTCGCTCTATATCAGAGCTCATCAGAATGCCCAGGAAACACTGATGAAATTTTGATTTACATCAACGAATCTTTCTTTTTTTTAACAGATTTATTGG